ATCTTTGTCTGACACTGTGTGGCACCCATAAGATCAAAACGAACATGTTTTTTGAGCGAATAAAGTAGCCTTCGCTAATATCAAGGGAGATAGGTTTTCCGTGACTTTCTGAGTATCGGGAACTTTTGTTCAGTAACAGAAAAGCACTACCAGTTGAAATTTCAATGCGATATTTAAGAACTATAGGAGGGGAACGACCGAGGCCTGCGGAATGGTACGAAAAGTATTAAAAAGGTCGCCCATCTTACGAACATTTTGCCTGTACTTAAATGAGAAGCAGGATGGGGAAAACAGTCTATCCGCCTGAGAATGCAAATAATTACGAAGACAAAACAGCATTATCCTGTTGAATATCCGACAGCCAGAAATTAAATTAGTCACTGCTTATCACCAGCACTGTAAGGAATGACACCTTACAAATGGCTGCCTTTGCTGGTTTTATGCGAACACTCCGGGGGTTGTTTAGCCCCTGATGGTAAATTGACTTTACCGAGGACCCTATCTGCTCTTGCTCTCTGTCTATGTCTCTGCTGACGAATCTGCGACGGATATCGAAACGTCAGGCGAATAAAAGTATTGTCCCAGCGACCGAGTCGTCTTCTTCTGAAGCCAGAATGTATACATTTAACTTTAGCAGATTGCTGGAATCTTTAACTTTATCCCTATCCCAAGTTGTTCCTATTGCGTCTTTAGCGAGCTAACATCATTTTGTTCCTCGAAATGAACATTCGTAAATTATGAAGGCCATTATATGGAAGAAAAAAAAACAGCTAATTTCCAAACACACGCTAGTTTCAAAGTGCTTTGCGGAGATGATCCTTATCGTATCAGAGTCAATCTGGACCGCTGGCTGTAGCTGCGGCATATCAAAAAACCTACCCTATCTTCATCACTAATCGGTGTCGCAAGAATGGTTAGTTGGTTGGTGTTTGAAGCTCCTACGATGTGTTCTTCGTCATCAAAAAGAACAGCAGCGCGGTATTTTTTTAAGAAAAGAAACTGTCACGTTAGTTAGCGTACTTTTTTAGAGCCGTGAGCGAACGGGTAAGTGGTCTAAGGAATGTAAAATGTTCACTAAATCCGCACCATTACTTCTAATTATTTTTAGACTCAATAAGTTAACCGGGAACAAAATGAACTACCGAATGCGTTTACTATGCTTGAGGAAAGGTTTCTAAAATTATAAATTATGATGTGCACTATTTAAGACAAAATGTGTCATTTAATAACATTGGCCTGACCTGGAAATGCATGATTATCCACGAAGCATTCTGGCTTGGGACTACGACAGATGCCCCGTCCCTCATAATTATGCAAACAAGCGATATGACTTTTCCGCGAGCCGGTGCTTTGTTCTGACTGTGTGGTTTTTGTCCTTTCCGTGGAATGACCTAGTCTTTTTTGAAATATCGTGAACTATGCAAATTTCTGAGTTT